GACGACAATTCGGAACGATTGCGCTGATATATTATGCAGAGAATATTACCAGTACGTGTTAGAATAAACAGCTAGGGAACTACAATGCGTGTTTATCTAGAATTCATAATTAAAATTTTAGTTTACGTTTGTTGCAGTCAAATTTAAAGTGCGAGTAACATTGTTTGAAGATCTATCCTTTTGAGCAATAATGTAAAATCTTATATTTTCTCTATATGCTTTTGAAGTTCAGTTTACAAAAAATCGTAAATCGACCTTAATTGGGAGAACCTATGAGAGCATAACCAAAAGGAGACCATAAGACGATATATTGCCCTATTTAACTCTTGATGCTCCAACAATGATATCAACGTATATACCGATGCAGTAGGTACTCGGTAGGTCCCTCCTAACAGACAATAGCGTGTAATCTCTGTCTCTCCAGTGCTGTACAATTCATCCGTATTCCATGCAAGTGCCATAGTACCGATAAAAGCAAAACTCTATATCAAACCTATTAGGAAATCGTTATATGCTAATAATTCGGCCTCGGACATGTAGCATGCAAGAAGGCTAGGCTTGTAGCCGCCTACTGGTTCCGGCGAACAGCGCCAGCGTGCGCGTGACGATGACCATTAATGGCGCCAATCATGGCACCACGCGTGCCTATCAGTATCTGGTCGCGCGCCGCTGATGATGATCGATTGTTCTAAAGCGGCTCTACCCGGGACAGGACATCAAAGAGCCCCACTTACGCTGGGGCTTACGTGTAGCGGTGATTGAGCACGATGACTGCGCGGGAGGAATCGACTGTTCATTGAGCACTCGACTCGCTAACGATCAAGAGCACGTGTCACCAGGTAGATATGCACTTCTCGTGTACTGCAAATGGCCCGCCTTGCCATTAGATATCGCACAATGCATCACGACGGGCATAATAACTCGGTCGATAATGCATCGATTTTGACGATACGTAATCTGACAACAACATTAAAGCGCATTTCTCGCTCGTTATCCTACCTAAAATTTTCCTATATATTACGATGCAATTATAAATAAAAATGATATATTCGTTAAAAACATCTTAACCGCCATGAACTAGTCTCTTAAATAGGCACCCCCGCCCCTCACACACTCGCACACTCCATACGCACGCACGCTCGAACATGCACATGCTAGCGCTATCACGCACGCGCACGCACATACACACATGCGCACAGACTCACTCGCCCACACGCACGCACGCACGGACGCGCGCACATGCGCAAGGACGTATGCACGCGTGGACGCACGCACAGACGGACGCACGCACTCACGGAGGCCGTCGTGCGCGCACGGGCGCGCGTACATATGCAGGCAGGCATGCAGGCAGGCGCGCGCACACATAGATGCATGGGTAATCATTGTTTTTATGTTATTAGTTTAGTTCTGGGTATTCTTTAATTGCGCAGCTGCGTTGTGGATAAAGGCGCAGAGAAATGAACCCCACAATGTCACGAATCATGCTTGTTATTAGACCGACGCTGAGGAGTCAAAACAAATCCTCAAGTATAAACATAAATGTCTGAAAAGATGGTTCCAATTAAATAGGTCTGTTTATTTACTGAAATGAAATCTCTTGTGGTGGCCATCATTAAAAAAAGCAGTCACGTGTAATCGGGTATCAGTGACGTCATGTTTATCTTAGATCTTCGCATATCTTGAATGAAGTAACGACGATTCGCGCGGATGTAGCTAACCTTGGACATAACCTTGAAATTTACAGCATTTCTCCTCTCTTCGTAACTCCAACCTCATTCCGCATCACACCCAGATACACACACACGCATACGCACACGGAGAAGCACACGCGCGCACACGCAGATTTAGCAATATAAACATCTTTGAGATTCATGGTATACACGTGCTAACGTGAGTATGCGAATGATCAGACGTGAAACCCGTGTCAAACCGACTCTTGTTTATTTCTGAACATCCAACTATATATATATAGTTGGATGATACATATAGTTGGATGTTCAGAAATAAACAAGAGTCGGTTTGACACGGGTTTCACGTCTGATCATTCGCATACATCCGTGTGCGTATGTGTGTATATCACCCTCCTAACCCATCTGATTGGTGGTGAGTCAGCTCCCGAACAGGTAATGCTATAGCATCGGTTCATAATGCATACATTTTTAAATGCGCTGACGAAAAATGTATTGGTTCATGTAATTTAAGGTGTATTATTTGTCCATGTAAGTTCGCGGTTACACTTGCACCACCTTCATTGCAAATTACTTCCATGTTTGAGGCAGAATTCAGCCTTACAGACAGGTATCATTTTTGCTCCAGTAAAACAATAAATTTGCAACCGATGCCCTGCATGTAATCTTTGTAAAGCATAGTCTTTTTAATTACTAGGGCGCATACCGAGAATTATGCTTTTCTGAATATAGATATATGCTACACGATACTGAGCGCTTTTAATATACAAAAGATATACTATGTAGGGCCTAACTTAAGAATGTAAAGATGATCCTGCTTATTTATACCATCATGTTATACAATTATTTCTATATTATTGCCATACATATTATTTCTATCATCCACCGAATATAGCTTTTACAATGATTTTTTGTGTCATAGAATATATTTAATCAATAATCAATCGTTCAATAAAGATGAAACGAATGTTGAACCAGAATGACGCTGAAACTCTTGCTGTACAACATCAAATGGGTCAATGAATGTGTCAACCAAATGCCCAAACCAAGCACCCATATGAGTAACAACGCAGACACGTCTCCATGTTCAAATATAATTTTTTCCCCAATTCAGATATTCAGAGCTTTGATCGGTAACCGTGACAACACATCTCTACTGGCTTGACGTGTAAACACGTTTTAATTAGAGGACAGTATATTTGCACAGGTAGAGAACGAAGCCATCTGCTTCATGCCATCTTCTCACTTGCGAAATGCTTTCCAACAAAATTGAAGACGTGCTTCTATGATTTTCCTATGATTTTACCTCAAAAGAGAAACAAATATCTGACTTTAACAATACTGTTATTGTTATTTTTCCATCTATACTCAGAAGTAACAAAGAGCGGTCAGGGTATAATTATTCCCCCAAAACAGACACGCGCGATAAAGTAACGGTAGCGGATCAACGATCGACGACCGGATCTTGCAAATCAAAAATCTGCGACAAAATTAGTCCGTCGCGCCCCCTGCCGTTAACAAATGTTAAAATAGAAAAAATACGCACCTCCAAGCATTCTCGTAATCCAACTAGGAAATTGGCGACATTTCCGCGTACTAATGAAGAACATTCAGCTAGATATCAATGCCACATTTTAATCTCCTGTTTGAATCTATATTATCTATCTATTTTGCAAAGATTGTCTCTCGATCTCGTCAGCCAATATGTTACTATTACATTACATTACAAATTACATTACATTTACTATTATGTTTACTATTACATGTGTAGAGGATAGGCCGCATTTAGATACAATAATGTAACCCAAACACAGGATAGGTGATTCCCTATCCTGTTTGGGTTACATTATTGTATCTAGGCCGCATTATGTGAATGGCTAATTTTGCGCCACTTTGTGTATGCATAGATTTCTGAAAGTAAATCGCATGAATAAGTAAATATTAGGATTGCTTGACATCACAACGCACACGCGAAATAAGCGATATCACGAATATATATATATATATATATATATATATATATATATATCAGAAGTAGATAATAGGGAATCCCTATTATCTACTTCTGATATATATACAGGCCCGTCGGAGCCGCTACGGTTGGTACGGGATTGACCGTACCACTTTTCAGCCTAAAAAAAGAGAAAAGAAAAAAGGAGCTACTTGAGATCTACCATGACTCAGCAGCGCCTCAACCATCTTATGCTGTTACACGTCCACAAAAGATCATACAGATCGATTGAACCTGATTGAAGCTGCAAATGATTTTGTCAATGCCAATCACCATCGGCGTTCAGTTTTTGGCATTTTCACAGCATGTGATTTGAGTTTTGCATGGAACCATCTGATTCTGATCAGTTACCTACCTGTAAGTATTGTTAATAAAACATTTGTAAATGTATGCTTAAACATTATGTAACATTTTCGACATAAAATTGATGGAATTTTTTGGCATCTTACTAATGGATTTACCGATTTAGGATCGCAGACCGCAGTATCGTATATCGATCTCTTTCTGTGCGTGTGTGTGTGTGTGCGCGCGCGTGTGTGTGTGTTTAGTTGATGCACTGTATGAAGAGCTCTGCAGCTTGATCTCAATTTCTATTTAATGAAGAGTAATTTGTCATTTTCTGCAGTACAATGAAAGGATAAAAAAATCACTTTAAAGTGTGCTAAATTGCATGATTTGCACCCCCAATTCAAAAAAAGTTCTTACCCACACCCTCCCCCGCTTGGTCGCTCCGCTCCCTCGCATCGTTTCCTGTCCCGTATTAAAATTTCTAAAATCTGGTCACCCTGTCTGCCCCTTCGAACCCCGCTGGGGGTTTCACCCCCAGTCCCCCACAGTCCACTGAAACCGTACCACTTTAAAATTCCTTCCGATGGGCCTTATATATATATATATATCTGCCATGTTCTAGTGGTTGTAATATACGCAGCACATTATTTTGGGAAAGAATTAAGTTTATTCTAGCCCATGCATATGATCAGGAGGAACACACGAACATAATTTTAACGCACGATATACTGCCATATTCCTGCGTCTGGTATGATTATGGCAATGCGCCCTTACGACTAATACCTCCGATAGGTGGCGGGAAAATGTCATATTCGACTCAGTTTATATAATATATTATATATAATAGGAGAGAGAGAGAGAGAGAGAGAGAGAGATCGTAACTCTGTTGTGACTTCTTTTCGCCTTCTTATTTTCTATCATCATTATAACCACAAATTAGGGCATCGTACTTCTAGTGACGTAATCATCTCAACTTGTGGATGGTGTGGATCCGTTTTCTGTGGTGTGGTGGCGCTAAGTTCGATTTTGTAAACAAACTTGAAAAATGTGAACACCAAGCGTGAACGTGACTAACACACCGTTGCATCCATCCATCCATCTGGTCTAGACTGCCTGGTCTGCCTGTGTCTGGCATTACGTCTGGTAAGCTTGGGCATTATGCGTTTGCACACTCTCTGCATGAGCATTTGTATTTGAGAGTATCTAAGTTGAAAATATGTTCTAAGTTTGCGGGTGATCATCATCATCATGCATGCATGCACTGCTGACTCAGTGACTGCATGCCCCCGTCTCCTGTCCTGGTTTCATCTTTACGTTTATTTGAGTTTAAATCATAATACATGGACACCGTATTACTGAAAACGTCAGAGAGTGGCATGACATGAGTGTTATGACATTGGCAATTGACATGTATTGACAATGACAATGCAGTTGCGGTGCAACACATCACACTTGTACTGTATGCAAATGCAACCATGCACTACGAGTACACATCTTAGCGAACGTCGGAAGGGTAGGCCTATATATGCTAATAATAGTAATATAGCTCTAGTACTATAGCCCGCGTACAGTTGTACTAATGCTAATAGTAATAGTTATAATTATTTAGTGTATCATTTTGGCGCATTTCTTTGATTGACATATCATGAGATTGGATCTTTTCAGCATTGAGTCTGGCACTGCCCAAATGGATAGACTTTTGAGATCAAAAAATAAATGCTTGATAGAACAACTTCACCATCAGCAGGCATGTATGCATATGTCCTTGGAGAAATTGCGTGGAGTTGAAGATGAGGGGCAGAACGCAAAACTGTACACTATAAGAGGTAAGCTACAGCAGTGCAGTTTCTGTGTTGGTAATTAGATTCTCATAAAAATTACCAGTAGGCCATTGTGAACGACCATAGCACAGACTGTGAGAGAGTTGGGGAAAGGAAAAATTATTGTTATTGTATCAGCATGTAAGTAATATAGGTGTCCGTTATCTCCATTATAGCTAAGCCAACTGATCATACTGAAAATATGGCACAAGACCAAATGCTTCAAAATGTGAATGATGGAGATTTCATTCAACAGCAATACTCCAGCACACCTATATCATGTGGCACAAGGCAGGCACAGGCACCTTACAATTGCACAATACACATCAATCAGCTACCGGAAGCAAACTGTGTTGTGCAGTCTGGAGATCATGAGGAAGGCATACAACTAAAGCAAACACGGAGCTGTATTGTCAACTCTCCAGTTAAAGTGCAGTATGTGAAGCCCACTGTAGACCGGTCCATACAAACTGATCAAGCCAAACTGCAAACTGTAGAAACATGTACTACAACTGACTTGCCAGTGACACCGGATGTGAAAAATAATGCAGCGAACGGTGATTCTTTACGCATAAATGTCCTGAAGAAACGATATGATGCATTAAGAAAGTATTATCAGGATGGAATTGAAGACCAGCCATGTTTACAGCGGCCATCCCACACTCACACACCGCCAAGAGTTTCATGTGGGGAGCTTCACGATTATTTTTACACCAACTACCCGTCAAGGTACTTCAGGGACCTTTCCAATGTATCACCTACACTTCAAAGAACAAATGGTAAAAGCTGGTTCGAAGCAAGAGGTCGGACGCCCATGTATAAAAGTGGAGGAATGAGATATCCCAGTTCCAGTAGCCGACCTAGTCCATATGATGCTGCGAAACAACAGCATTTATCACAAAACCTGAGAGGACTTGATCTTTCCCACTTACGACAGAAGAAGGGATCAGATAATAAGGGATATGGTGTAAGGCATCAGGACTGCATGGGCCATGCCATGAAAGATAGAAGAGACAAAGTCCAGCCATTCCAGCTGTATGCGCCATGGTTAGACCTCAGGAAGGACAAAGGTGAGCAAACTGATCAAGTAGAAATGGTAAAGTTGCCTACACGCCTTATAGCAAACGAGGATGAATGTGCAAAGACTTATAAATGTGGTACCTCAAAGTTACCATCACATTTGTTGAAGGGCAAAGGTGAACAAACCGATCAGCATGATATATCTATGTTATCATCATATTTAAGGCAAGAATTTAAGGAAGGTAAACATCTTGACACGTTTAAAACAAGTAGAGACAGTAGAGTGGATAAAGGTGATCAAACAGTTGCTCTTGATCCATTGCAACTACGTTCAGATGATGTGCAAGAAGGACATGTTCCTAGTGCCTCTACAAGTGAAGTCATAGTACTCCATCCACCATTAATACTGGAAGAATGTACAATTATGCAAAAAGAGCCAACTGTAAGAGAGAAAAAGAGTCAGTCATACTCAGGTCAGGGGATGGGAGAAGATGTGCAGATTGAACAGTCCAATATATTTCAGTTATACGGAGGCCAAAATAGGCGAGATATACATGACGAACAACCAGAACTAAATAGGAGCAGTGTCAAATTGTTAAACAGCAAAGTCGTGCAGCAAAATGATTATGGTAATGTTTTGCACCAATTGAGTTCACGTTTGCAAAATGTAATGGGCATACATAATGAACAATGTAGTATAGATCAACCAGGGTTAGACCTTTTTACTATTAATGAGGACTATGGGCAGATTGAGAACTCCAATGTTCATGACGGTTCTATTGCTCTAATGACGCATGCCGGGTTGTTGCAACTATATATTAGCCATGGCGTGGGTGAAAGTGAGGAAGCCGGAGAGCAGGTCAATACGCAATCTCAGTCAGAGCAAAATGATGGTGTAAGTATCGAAAGTGCAAAACTAAATGCATCTCAATTCCTGTTAAGTCCAGAGAAAGATGAGAGCAGTCTTGATAAGCAAGAAAAGTCATTTATAGAATCCGCTAATAATGCAGGAATAGAGGGTAGGGGTAAGCTACAAAATTACCAATCCTTCATGACTCAAACATTCACTAATCAGAGTGTTGATACTACTAGTGATCATAATAGTCGAACGTTCAAAACAAGTGCAGAACATGTAGATTATAGTATTGAACGTAATGAAAAAAAATCCATTGTGTTACAAGCTTTCTCTGACTCGGAGCAAGATGATGATATCGATGGTAAGGATGTGGAACATATTTTGTTCCAAACACATACCCAGCTGGGGAAACCTAATAAAGAACATAATGTTACAGTTTCAGGCAGGTCTAATTCTGATCAGGTGGAAGGGAATGTTAATAAGACCGAACAACGTAGTTTGTTTCGAACATCTTCAGAAAACGAGAATAGTTTCGTTAGCGCGAATAAACAACCCATTGCATTACAAACATGTTCTTCCACTGAGATAGAGGGAGGTAATGTTAGAGCAAATGAAAACGGTGTTTTGTCCCAGACATGTGTAAAGGAAGTGCAGAATAATGTTGAGCACGGTGAAGAAAATCGTTTATCCCAAGCATTTTCAGCACCAGGGTACGATAAGATTGACCAGAATTACACTTGTATTTTCTTGCCACCAACGATCGTTACTAGCCAAGGAATAACTGATGGGTTGCTTACTCTGCCATCTATCATGGTACACTCTGACCCGGGGATGATTAGACAAATTAAAAGCGAACAGTGTGCGCTGTTCGAACTATATGCCGGCCAGGGCCGGAATGAAGATGTTCCAGAGGTCTGTAGTGTGGTGGAGTTTCACGCAGATCTAGAAAATGGCAGCTGCACTCAGAATATGGGAACACGCGAAATAGAAATAACTCGGGAAAATATTCGAGAGGAGCCGTGCTTCTTAGTTCTGTCACAAGATTCTCTTGAAAATAATAAAGATGCACAAGAAAGTCAAGAGGTAATCATATTACCGCAAGACAGTCGTGGGAATGCTAAAGAGATGGAACGAGAAATTATGCAATCTGGATCAAAGGATAATAGCAATTTGTCATCTGCACAACCTGTTATATTGCAACCAGATTCTGAGCTGTGGACGGATGACAGTTCGCAAAGAGATCTGCTTCAAGGAGGAGTTGAAAGCAGCGATGATGGTAATGTACGACGAGCTGTGAAGCCGGTGACAACCAATTCACCTATCGATGGAGGCAGTGGAAGAAAGGTATTGTAGGCGGCATACTGTGGCGAGCAGCACGAGATATACACGTAATACATCCATATGATCTAAAGTATTTACGAGCTAATCATGGTACAGTGGACGTAAGACCCTACATAAATACGACCACCTCGGTGCAGCAGGGAAGAATAACTGCGGGAAAATTTTGTACAGTGAAGAGTGTTGTGAAATGTTACGAGTGCATTATTTGTTTGTGCAACTACTTTCAGGCAATTGGAAAAGTGATCTTTCTAGGCAGCACAGCTGTGGACCGAAAAACTGAGCCGCCAAAGCCACCACCCAGTGCCAGCAGTGTCGATGAAGACGACTCCAAATTTCTTGATTACTTGGAAACTCTAGAACTATTCAGGCGACAGTATCCAAATGAATGTATGAGCCCAATGAGGCCGTCATGGCTGGGGTAAACAAGTATACTGATGTATATTAAAATCGTTATCATTCAGATGTACTGATGTATACGTGTGAGATATTTTTTTAGCTCTATCATATTCTCCCAATTGGGAATGGAAAAGCTACACATGTTGAATGGTTTGTTTAGTATGTCATTTATATTTGTTGACCAAGCATATCACCTAAACTGTGACGAACAGGTTATACACGTATTACACTACACAGTCTATGTAATATGTTGTTGTTCTATTTCACATTTAACGTGATTTTTGTGGCAAATATTTGTGTCCGACATTTTAAATTCTGAAGCTCTTTCCACAGATTCAATGTGAATGAACGCAGTGCTGATAGCCAAGAGCAGGGATACGTTGGTTGCAACCCCGGCACTGACATCCCTGATCATCAGTGTGAGTAACTTAGAATGCATATTGGCAGATCCTAATACACGTACGAGTAACATTTATGTGTGCTGTACTAGTATGCGTGACGTCGTGCAAACCTCCCACAATATGGGCAGGGTGAAGCTGGTAACGTATTGATGTGCTTGTGTTGTAACTGGACCAGTACAGGCAGGTGGTCGGATAGTTCAGTTCAATTTTATACCTGGTATTAGTTTTTTCTAAAGCCCTATGGGATTTATTCAAGGAGCAACTGGTTGTAAGTTTATTTAAACGCTGTCGTGTGTGCATTTCTTTGGCTCCGTGTTGTAAATTCACAAGCGTGCAGATCACGGTGAGTCCTTGGCTTAATACCTACGAAGCGGCAGTCCAGACTAAGAAAATCAATAGAGCTGACCGCATTCAGTTGGACCTGGGCAATAGGCCAGACCGGTATACCTGTGGTATGCCTACGCCTATGAAGAATGAGTGCATTGCAATCAGTGAAACACGGAGTGGCAACCCCCGCAACCACATCAAACTAGTAAACAGTGCACTATGAATTGGTACGAGTATTGATTTCATCTGTTGCACTAAAACATTAATGAGTGTTTCATGCCAGTGCGTCATCCTGGTTACACGTGATGCGTGTGACGTTAATGTGCCACGCAACCCTTTAAAAACCAATGCAACCGCAGTGATTAGTTTGGAAGCGAGTCATTAGTTGTCATGGTAACAGACACGTGTTCATGCCCGCGGGCGTTCTGCCTCCTGTGTTGTGACTAGATCCGAACCATTTATTAATTAGTCAACACCTGAAATTTTCATGTTATCCTGCCGAATGATCTCTACGCACTCAGCACACATGATGCGTGGTAGCGAATGTCTCCAGCTACACTGTGTGTTATATGCTACAAGTAGCTTGAATGTTAGCACGATATGCTCACCCACACTCAATCGTGTGCTCTCACTTCCCCTGTCTGCCATCGACTAGAGTAGAAGGCTCACAGAGTCAGTATTGTCATAGCTATTAAATCCACGTACCGCATTTTGACTTAATACGAGTCAAACGTTGTACACGTAGTTAAGTCCTGTGGTAGCTGCCTAGTGCTATGTTTGCTACCGCCCTGTGTTCAACTAAATGACACCCCCAGCATATGCATGCTTGGCCAGCTTCGTTGGAGCGGCTGGCTGTACTGTGGAAAGTGCACGTACTTGCAGGCGTGTTCGACTACAAGCTCAATGGACGGCTGTTCCCAGAGGCAGTACACACAGACAGAGAGAACAGGAGCATTTGCCCCACCTGCAAGTCCCCTGAACGTGTCCCAACCAGCACCAACCCAACCTACACCAGGTACCCCGTACACACCCGGTTGTCCTTGAACGTTTTCATGAGCACCACGCATTTTCCCTTTGCACCCTCCTTTTACAAATTACTAGAGTTCAATGTGCTACCTAGTCATTAGGGAATCTTAGGAAAAATCACTTGTTTTACCAATTGCCTTATGGGACACGAATTAAATTAAATGTTGACCGAGGATTCTTCTAACAGCGATGTGTTTAACACTCCTGTTAAAGTAAGTGTTCTGTAATTATGCAAAGTTCAGTAAAATATTGCAACAGGTAGTAGGTTTAGCAAATGCGTGCTAATCGTTGAATTGCTAGTTGGCACATATAAAAGCACCATGTGAGTAAGGAACCTAAACAATTAAGCTACAGAAATACCCAACTGCATGCAGGAATCCATGTAAGTGTACACTGTGTTATTTCTGCTGCATAACATAATAACAGGGCTGCTCTGCTACCTTTTGTGATAGAAGATCTAGCACATTACATAAAAGCGTGCGTATGACTAACGAGAAACAATGATTGAACAGCTGTACTGTATCCTTCCCACAGGTGAGCCACTTAGCCTCCTATTGGGCCTGTTTTATGGTGACATATTACGTATGGAGTTGGAACATGAACAGGTTTCACATTAGTATGGTATATGAAAGCAAGTCCTGCTTTATTAATGAGACAGGCTTATCGAAAACAAACTGTTAATGAGATCTGCACTGTTACATGCTGTAGGATATCAGTATCACGCAGTGCACTGGCTCCCCCCTACAGACTACAACATCGCACAAAGCAAGCATTTATGCTGAAGGGATCCCTTGCACTGTCACAGGTATAGCAATGTGTATGCTCTAAATAATATACAGATATCAAAACGGACATATCTAAATATATACTTATCATTTGTAAAGCCATAATATCGCATAGTATCACTAGTAAAGCTAGTATTGATCATCAATATGTTTTAATGCTACTAATGATATACTACCTGCAAATAGTGTGCATTGTGTGATTATTATCAGGTGAAGGTAAAGCTGGTTCACTATCACTACAGTAAACATTGTAATAGTTAAAATCTGTCCATCTTACTAAGCACATAGATTTTCTGCTTTCAGCACTGCCTGGCTGGTCATCAATATACCGGTGAGATCACTCGGCCAGAGACCTCTACTGTTGATCTTCGCACTGAAATGAACAAGGACAAACTAGCAACTCAGGTGAGAGCTAGTTATTTGCACGTAAGAAGTAATTAAAGAGAAGTTGTCTGTTGCGTAAGAGAAAATGACGTTTACCGCATCAGCAGTGTTTGCAGATCTTGCAGGGCAATCACTGATACAGAGCTGCTTAGCATTTCTGTGTATAGTTAGACCTTCTATGCAGTTGTCTTGGGTCTATCTATTGTTGGACATTGGAGTAAAAAGCCAGCAAAATTAGTTAAAGCTAAAAATTACCATAAAAACTCAGCAATATTAATCGGACTTGATCTATTAATGTGCATAGGCTGAATATTCATTCACAACAACCACTAGCCCTCGTTTAGTACAAGATGAACGAGCGCAATCATCTCATCTCACCATAATCCTATAAAAAAAAGGGCAATCCCTTCCAAAATATTAGCGGTAGTAATCAAGAGTCAGACACGAAAGATGGTTCTGCACCAGCTAATGAACGTGTCATGTTTGAAGGTGCTGCCCCCTGATGGCACAAGGACTACCACACAGGAGCTGCTCACACGCTCGCACAAGATCCGACAAAGCTTCAACCGTATCCTGATGGATTCTCGACATAGACCCGCTGACATGAAACATCAGAGGCCGCTGCCACTGTTCTAACAGCACAGCACTAATAAATGTCACTGATATTGTCAACAAAATGGTGATCTCTAGAAGCCTGGCAGCATTGATGACATTGTTGCTGCGTTCTTATAATAAGATATAATAAGATGTTGCTGTGATAATAGGCTGCTAAACCTTTTGCCAAATATCATACCTAGTCAATCTGTTAATATGTTATGCAATAACTTATATGGTGGGATCAGAATACTGCATCCCGTCCCACCATACCATTGGATGGGGTAGCTGTCTATATCTTTGTGGATATTACACCTGGAAAACTGTAAATGTGTGGCTTTCACTGAGTAAGCACTCTTTTAACGATAATCATATAGTCAGCAATGGAGCAGAAACAGAAATATCACTTATACCTGATACTCAGTTATGTACACATGTTATGTACCACAGTGCTCAAATGTGTGACAGGAACTTGAAATAGTTTTATATCTAGAAACGTTTATTCATTTTTTCTGCAATACCCTAGTCCTGTGTTACAATCTGCTTGTTGTTTTGTTTTTCGGGAAAAAATGTTTTTTTACACTATAACTTATTTTGTTTCTTGCAAAAATAGGATATTAAAGATATCAAGCTATTAAACAATGATACTGTCATCACTTTAATTCATAATGTATTTTATATATTTACGTCACCGTGATAAATAGAGAAATAGCCACAAAAGTTAGTACACACTGGGTTTTTAATATATCAGCTTATCATTGAATTTCAATGAGTTGTAGCTTAATTGCTTGCATGAATTGTAGATTGCGTGAATAATAAGATTCACACACTATGTAGTCATGTCTGATTATGCGATATACGACTTAACCTTCTTCACAATGAAGTTTCACACCTGACCTCAGGGCAAATTGATAACATACATGATATACAACATACTGTAATGTACAGCAAATAAGTGCCTTACAAAGGAAGCATTTTTAGTTGGTAATCTGTCTTATTGTAGGAGACATATGCATGATAGCAGTCTATGCTATGAAGTTACACAGCTGAGTTGTACACAATAGTTTACTTACAGTAGTCGCCTTCCAATACCTTTACCAATTGCAGTATACTCAATGACTGACACTAATTAACTGTTACTCAGTTATGAGAATTTGTTATGATTTGCAGATAAATAATGCAATGTGAACGGTGCAACGATAAATTAACGTTACAAAAAACTAACACACTGACCTCTACAATGATAATGAAAATATAATGAACGTATGATTGTTAAATGATTAACCAATCATCAGTTTGGTCATTGTAGCGCTCGCAACGCCAGGGAAGTGCGATTAAAACGGTCATCGTATAAATATCAGGTCACATTGATTACTTGGTCTTCTGTGGGTGATGAAGAGCTATATTGATGAAGTTGTAATAACAGATAACACGTGAAACTGGGTACGATGCACAGGAGCAACCAACCTGCAAGATGCACGGGGATACGCTACTGCCATAAGAAGGCCGTCTCAGAGAAACGGGTGGATGTTAATCTCTAGTGCAGCACAGGGGAGGCTGAGGTCAAACTTTACGATGACATCGGGATGTAGCACTCCCAGCCTTCCAATCACTTCGCCCTTGTATACTATTTCTGCACACCGGCCTGGGAAGTAAGTGGCATCTGAAATCATAGAAAATACACTGTCAATTGCTAGCAGAATATAAATACACAATTAAAAGGTAACACTCCAGCTTTCAGAATTATTTCTTAGTTAAATTGGTTAATTTATGTCAAATGCCAAAAGTTGAAGTTTTTTAAAGTTTATTATTAATAAGAAAATACAAAAGCCTGCATTTAAAACATATACCTCCCCTTTATGAAACCATAGTAAAATAAACCAGCTACACATCGTTCATTAAGCATATAATTTCATAAATCCTTTGAATGAAAATCCCCAGCAAGTACCGCACACAGTTTCTTAGAACCACAGCACTCACAAGTACACAGCAAGGCTAAAAGCGATGCATGCATTCACATGGGACACCCAAAGTAAGGCTGAAAGGGTTATTGTCGTATATGTAGTACCCCAGGTGTCGGCGAGTATGTCGCCTACGCCTACTTCCTAACCCTAACCATATCAGATAGTTACCTCATACCTCTATAGGTACATATTTGTACTACCCTATATGACAACGACCCTTCGTGCCAAAGTAAGGTCTTGCACATACCTTCACAGGAGCGAATGTGGTAGCCGCACTCGCGGCTGAAGGGCACCGCCAGTAGCTGCATTATGCGATCAAGAAGTCCGTGAATCACTTCAAAACCTGGGTTCTTGTTGTAGTGCACGGCGCACAGACGTCGCTCGTTCCTCACACCGACGTCTGCACAATAAACGCAGGGCTACGTCAACCTATTGACTGAATAAGGGGGGGGGGGGGGGTCACACAAGATTATTATCACATTTATTATGATAAGAGAGTCACGGATCTCACGAAAGCCTTCATGTATAATATTCATACGAATACAATTCTCAGCATTTATATCTACAGTAAAATATATTATTGTTATAAATATTATATTGGAATGATATTAACTTGGGACAAACAAAGCTGCTGATAGACAAAACATACCATAGTTGTTATCCTTCAGTATCACGTCAGAGATTTCAAACAGTTTCATGGGCAGAGGCATGTTCTTGTTGCTGGCTATAGTCTTCATTATACCAGCTAGCAATGTTGTCCTAGCCACCTGTCAATGGTATTATTAGCCATGATGCTATTGTATGCATAAAGCCAGCACATTCCAACCACACGCCTTTTCAAATATTAATATTGACATTTGTGTATTTCTAACAAATGCACTTTGGCTTCTTCACTAGGGTTCTGCATGTGTATTATAACCATTATAATGTATTATACCGTGTTTTTGCCTACCCACACGAGCATTCACTGATTCAGCCTTCAGGGTGCTATAGACAGACTGCTTTAGAAAATAATATGATTTAAGGAGCGTAAACCCTGTTCAACAAACATTTGCCTTTGCAATTAAACTGTGCAACTGTAGCCTCACATTCACACAGGTATGGGCTCTAATAATAGCAAAAGCAGTTCAGTCCTTTGTTAACAGTCAACAAATTAAGGTTTAACCCTCCTCTTGAGGGTCAAAAGGTTATCCAACACTTACTCTTCGCATGTCAGCGGAAAGTATATTTCATGGTCCTTTCAATAAAGCCATAAAAATGGTAGGTCACCGCTGAAACAAAAAAGTTTATCAATCGCTCCGTCAGACCATGTCCTCAGAAAATGTCTAAAATCTGCCCTGTGCCAATTGACCTTTGACCTGTGACCTCCAATTTCGGCACAGTGATGGCTTTTCCTACCACGATGCTATACACAGACTATCACGAGCCTAGGTCGAGCCGTTTAGATTTGTGCCGCAATTCTGCATTTCCTCCCTATACCTTAAGTTAAGGAGGGAATATTCCCCCTTCTTATACACCTCTTGACCTTTGACCTTTGACCCCCAGCTTCGACATCCCAACTCGTTTTCGGATTCCCCCCCCACGTCCCAACTTTCGAATCCGTACGTCGAGCCGTTTAAGCTTTGTGCCCAACTGTTGACGCACGCACGAACGGACGCAAGCTCATGCGATTCTACTAGCTGCATCTGACTATGTCAGATGAGCTAAAAATAGAACCTTTATAGAAAAGATGATTATTGACTAAGGTTTACATTGCCACTTACCTGAAATTCGAGTGTCTTAGGATTGGATATGTGTACAGCAGGGGCACTCTTTATATCTTTTCGTAGTTTCACCGATATATCATCTTGTGAACACTGTAAAGTAAGTATACAGCCATGGCAGCATACTGATTAATATACTTCGAAATGTGTATACCTAATTCAGGTTAGAGAGGACAGTGCCTATTGAAACAGATAAGAACATAATCGTTTTTTATTCTGACAAGTTCAAATTATTTCACTGACTTCTTAAACAGATGATGAAACCGCTATAGGCTAATTTTAGAGTTGCAGTAAAATCCATAAATTAATAGGTTACAGTTTAGTTTCAGCACACTGAACAAGCAAATGCATCGATAAATGCCTCACCTGTTGCTTTATAAAATGAAACTGTTGATATATTTATCTACAAAAGACCATCTATGATCTAAGACTGGCCTAATTAACTTTAGTAAGATTTTAAATTGACATTAATTCCAGCCATAAGCACTGGCCTAACAAGAAAAAAACAACGTTTTCTGCCATTATACGAGCCATACCAGAGAAAAGGTTAGTGCTTCCGTGAAGCCAACCATAGCCACTTCCTGTCTCAGCAGATCTGTTAACTTGTTAAGGCTAAACTGAAACACAAACAAATGAAAGTTGTAGTCTTACATCCATCCAAATTTGCAATTTTGAAAACACTTATTCCTCTTTACTGCAAAACAGAAACAGTTCTGTAGAAATAAAAATAGAAAACTTACTTCTGCAGCTATTGTTCCTGAATTTGGAATTGTCTTCTTTATGTTATTGTATCCATAGGCTATAGCAACATCCTCAATGATATCACAGGCATGGATCACATCCGCGCGCGTTGGTGGAATGTCGATTTTCACCTTTGAACCATCCTCAATAACTTCAGACTTTAGGCACATTTTTGTTAGCAGTGTAGCTATAGTTTCTCCACTTTCTCTGTGAATTATAAATTATTAGCACATAAATGTATAGCGTGGAACTTATTGTGACATTATGAAAGCTCAACAAAATGTAAAACAGCGAATTTCGAAGAGAATTATTTGTGACATAGGTGTCAATGAAATATCTTTTGAATTCCCTCCGTAAAGAAACAAAATTAATCTTAATATACTAAAAATATGTAAAACACACTGGATCCGATGCACCGACCCAACAAACTAAACATACAATATAACAATTCAAAACAACAAAAGTTCATACAAAGTCAACTAATTCCTACAAGGAAGGAAGGTGTAAAAGGAAGACAAATTATGTGCAAAATGACAAGTATTGAGTTATTACCTATATTACAATTACTGCCATGCACAAATAAAGGCCATACCCCACAATACATTTATTCCACAGCTCACCTTATTCCTACTTTCTTGTTAACTTCGTCCACCTTAAGAACTGCCTCCCAATGTTTGAGCTCCTAAGAATTCCAAAATAAGACATGTAAAGTAATAATGTAGTTACAAATTCCTTACCAAATGTGTTTTTAACAATACACACGAATAACATTTTATTGCACGGAAACTATGCTGTATCCATACATTTCCTGTAAACACTTCATCAGGTGATATGTATTTGTCTTTCATTTTATGCTTGCCTTGTTCTGCAGATTTAACTTACCGGATAAATTGCACTGGAGCCATCACACTGGATAACCTCTGCTTGTTCTACTCTGAATGGAATAGCATTTGATAACATAAAAATGTCAGGAAACATCATTAAATGGCATGGGATTATTATTTAATTATGCAAGGAATAAGATTAATGTATTGTATTGTATTGTATTAACTGGCACTGTTAATGGAAAAGTATGAAACTCTTAGCTGACTGGCTGATATGCTCCCAATGCACACTATGCCTATCATAATGAATTCCATTTAGGATTACTCTCACGTTCATTTCTTTTTATTATAATTTACTTACGTAAAAGGTTCTGCACAGTACTGGCTAAACATGGTCACTAACACATCCAATACAATCTTTGCCTGTAACACAACAACATAAAAGCATTTGCAAAAATTGAAGATAAGCATAAGTATTTTGAAATATTATTCTTACCGAAGGAACGATCCTAGCAAAAAATGTATTCATGAAGAAATACTAAATGCCAACGACATATGTCACAGCCATTAATCCCTACATTCCCCTAGCCCAACCTGCTACAAGGATGATGAGGGAAAAGTAAAATCTCACAGATAATTACATTATTCTCATAACACACTGAAACATTTCGAATTTCTTGTTCCTTAGAAATAGCACAAATCTACCCTACACCACCTCTCCTGTTGTAATACCTTTGTAAGATCCGTTGCTGTACACTCAATGAAGACATTGCGTGTATCAAGGGTGATCTTGGAGTGGTCACCATTAATAATAGGAGGCATGGACAGCAGTACACCACAGCTGTCGTAAATTACTGGGTAAACAGGTTTGTCTCTAATGATAGGCAGGTAGTGACGAAGATGGCTGTCTACCTGGAAAACAGCACACCATATATATATATATATATATATACACACACACGGTCACACACACGTGTACAGAAAGAGAGAAGCCGGGAGAGAGGGAATGGGAGAGCGAGAGAGATAGAGATAGAAAGGGAGAGGGAGAGGAATATGGAGAGGGAGAAGGAGAAGAAGAGGGAGAGTGAGGAGAGGGAAAGAGAGATTTATTACTGTTCATATACAGCAATAAAAATGTAGTACACTATATGACAAGTCACTTTATCTGCATAATATTACACCTGCATTGATAATGTGCTATTTCGATCGTTATTGACTATTGAAAATAACAACCATGATAAAATTCTAGATTTTCATTTTAACTAAACATGTTAACTACTCCATAACAGTGTTTCTACACATAAACTAGTGTGCATATTAATGTTATCCCCCTTTGAAAAATATTACAAGATTACTCACAGAATATAGGTCCATTAGCTCCACAGCATTGTACTCCTTTGTTTGGTTTAATGGCCTAAACTTGATATCTGCTGGTGGTTTTGCTTCATAGATAAAAGGACCTTTTATGGTATCCAAGTCATGAGTTCCAATAGCAACCAGTGCTCGCTTTCTATAGAGAGAATAAATTTTGCCTACAGAAGAAAACATTACTATGACTTTTAGCATTATTTCCAGTTAAATCAGTTGTTTTTTTATTGTTCAATATAACTTAAACATAAATATAAACTAAATAATAAAACATCTCAACTGCTGTTCTCAGACTGATATTAACAGGAGATGCTAAAGAATGTAGAAATTGTATCCTGCAATCCAGCTTTTTTTTCTAAAAACGAATACCTGCAGAGATTCTGATGTAGCTTATCTTGTAGATCAATGAAGCTGTTATAACTTTCCTAAAAACAAAAAAAAGGAGAGCCATATAGTGACCTATCATCTGAAAGAAAGTGCCGCACTGATAAATCCATGTTAACTTGTGACCCTCATACAAAAAATGAATGGAAACAAGCAAATGAATGCAACCTACCGAGGTGAATGTTATATTCCTCAGTACGGCAGCTACACAGTGGGGGCGTACTTCTTGTGTCTGTAAAATCAGATTATTATCCTAACGTGCAAATAAAACCATATACCTACAATGAAATTAATAACAATTTGTTACACAAACTAGTAATCACCACCTATGATCCAACAAATTAATGGAGATACCTCAATAATGTGAAAGAATAAGGCTGTAAGCTTAAACTGCTTAAAACTCTGTCTAGCCAAATCGATCCAATCCTCAGAAATTTCAAATTGATTTTCAAATTTTCATTTTCATTCTTCCCATTTTTTCAACTTTTTCAGAGAACTTGTATACTTAAAAGACAGCTATGCTATGAAGGTGGACTTGGAAACATACCCACATGTTCCACCACTTTATCCTTATTTCAGTTAGTCTTCGAATTCTTGGTTCTGATTTTCAATTAAAATGATCCACTATTGTGTGGATAAAATTATCCACTGAAGTGTCACGATTAGCCTATATATGCATTACATGTCCTGCAGACTTTGGGATAAACTACGGCAAGTAAAACATTAGTAAGTCCTTAGCACAGAACTCAACTAAGCAGAGTGTGAGTGTTAAATACCTTTAAAAAAAGAAAAGCAATATCATACAATAAGAAACCACAATAATAATTCCAACATGAAAGCAAAATTCAACAACAAATACTCATAAATAGAGACCAGAGGATACAATATGAAGTCATGCCCACTTGTGCCACCCTAACTGGACTTCTGCCTTGGGGGATGCTGATACGTAGTGATTGTAAACTCACAGATGGTTTGATGTAGAGTTTTTGCATTTCCCCTGATGCAGGCGGAACTCTTTTGTATCGAGGTGATGGAATCTGTTCCTTAAACACCTGAAGACCTCTCACCAGACCTTCCAGACACAGAAGATCATACCTGCAAATAATTGAATCTTACACTACCAGAACACCAAACATCACTCGTTCTCGAGCAAATTACATATAATATTCCATCTGCTCATATTGCAATTATTGAAGTACGTTGAATAAAAATAAATCACGTTTACATATCATGACCTTTGCAATGGTGATGCCCCATGTTATTCAGCAGGTAAACTAGTAGAAAAGTTATGCATGGGATGGAATACCTGTTTGCTGGAACCTCAACCTTGTAGATAACTGCCTCAGAAGCCTCCTTAGCTCGTTCGCCACTACCAGTTTCTCTCATAATCATGTCTTTCTCCGAAGTAACTTCATCCAGTTCCAGTCCAAAATCAAAGCACAAGTCATCAAACTCATCATCAGCTGTAAAATACACACATCAAGTTACTAAGCAACACTCCATTGGGCTGTTAATAAAATTACGTCAAAGAGAGTTATTTTCCTCCTCAATCTGTGAGACAATTACTTATGCTAATAGTAAGGCAGATAAGCAAATGAATTGTGCACTTTTGTTGAATTGTGAGTTTGTAGACTTGTACTATATGTGAGTTCATGGAGATTTTCTGATATAATGCCAATTGAACATCCCCACCTGATGGCAAACACTGGCATAACAACATCTGCTTAACCGCCAGGGTGCGCTGTATGCCACTAGGTCACTATATCAGAAAATCTTCAGGAACTTATGTAGTAGATGTCTGCAAATTTTGCTTATCTGCTGCACAATGTGTTGCGCTTTCAAAATGTAGATTCATTAGAAATAAACTTTAGTCTTAGAATATTTGCTACTGCAGGGTTTGAATTTAGCACCGATTCTCCAACCTTTTGCTGTAGGAAAACCACAGGAACATGATTTAGTTCAAAGATCAGAGCGTTTTAAAGACAAGGTATGATAGTATAATGTTATTAAACGCTAGACATGATGAAGCTGATATAAGTTATAACTGTGTGAGTCATACACTTGTAATCAGGTAATTTATAAGGTATGCATTGCTCCTGTAGTCTGGCCCTGGCATGTTTATTTGTTAAGGTAAGTAAGTAACAGATCGAGCCAAGAATTTACAACTGCTGTCTGTTCCAAGCTATCAAACCACCACTGGTTACTATCGGTTTTACATCAGATAACATCAAATGTTTATTGTTTATACCAAAACATATAGATAGATTCATGAGTCACTGATCATGGTCTGGTACAGTCAAATTTTTCATTCTAAATGCAATGAGATGCAAACGACTGTGATAAGAAACAGTAGTGGTCTTAGAGCTTGCCCTGGCTGTAGCAGCAATTTGTCTCTTTAAATTCCTTGCTCAATTTCATAACTTCCATAATAATATACGACGCACCAAAGTTATGCATTAACCTGTCTTACGAATATCAGTGCATGCGCATGAGGCCCTCAGTGAGGGTATGCTGCAGCCGCACACTAGTCACTGCCACAAATAGAGACTATTATCAGTATCATGTATCATTGTATATAGCCATACGCATAGGCAACGCTAGTAGCCAGGCCAGGCTCTAGCCTTCCTTGAATCCTTCTGCCTTCGTGAAGCCGTGTGTCCAGAGTGTCTTGATATTTACCTGGATGCCACTTGTCCCCTCAAGACAAGTGGCTAGGGGTTAGGAAGCTATAATTTATAAAGCTTATATAAAACCCTTTTTACGCAGTACTATATATCGAACAGAGCGAGTCTATCAGCCCTCCTGCAGCGCCACAGATACAAGCGAGAATCAGGCTATTGTAAGACTCGCTGTGATTGGTCTGATTGTTTGTAAATGGCGAATGTAATTTACTAAAGTGAAATGAAGCGGGGCCTGAAAAACAATCTTTTAAGAAGTGAATAACGATTGAAGTGAATGTATACACATATCAGTAGCAAGGTAAAGCCAGGTAGAAGGAAACGGTAGGGTTTTTTTCGCGCCAATAGCGGCGTACGGGCCGCATTAGCAACGCATGCATTTTGCATGCGATCTCACAAAACTTCAATGTTCCGTTCTGTCCCAATAACCCTCACCAAAACATAAAAAAGGTTATATGGGACAGAATTATTCGGTCTAGGAGGACCCCCAGACCCCCCACCTGTTTCTCACCCCCTCCTTGAAATCCTGAATCCGCCGCCACTGCCCCCCCTAGTAGGAATTTGCTCAGCCTACGGCCTAGCCCTAGTAACTATATAGCCCGCGTGCAGTTGCCGCAGGCCTGCGGCAACTGTACGCGGGCTAGTATACTGTATAGTACTACTAGGGCTACTTACTACGGCCTAGCTCCAAGAATTTGAAGAAACGGTCTTTGCTAGGGTTACCCGGTTAGGACGTGTGGTGTGTATATTGACGTTATTCACACAGCCTGGTTGGGTTACCTACGGCCCTGCATTGCCTTTGATAGTTTGGTACTTTGATATCTTACTTAGTGATTGACCCAGAGCTTCCACCAGATGGTCTCGATATATTGAAACAATTGGCATTGTGTAGCTTCAACTATCAAAACAATATATATATATGATGCAATCGCCGGTGATCGACACTAAAACCATCAAAATCAGAATTTCAGCAACGCCGATCGAAGCGCCAGCTAGACCTCTTGAGTCTTTGACGTCTTATTACTTTCTGCTAAATATATAATATAAATTCTTATTTAAACGCAAATAGCAAGGCAAAATTTTTATTTTAAGCCCGTATTTTAACATAGAACAGAGAAAGACATGAAAATTAAATATTTAAGATTTCCCAGCCAAGATTTTATCATGCCGGGTAGCAGAATGCTCTTGTGTTTCCTCAGTTTTGAGTTTCAAGACGCTTGCGTTGCGTATCAATCCCGGAGGCTGGCGAAATCACTATGGTTATTGTTTAGGTCGTCAGCTTATTTGTACTGCTACTGATAGTAGTTTTAATAAATGTAGGTATTATTTAATAGTTAATGAAAGATAAGGATATAGTAATACGGTGGTGTAACTTATTCTTAACGCGCAGTTACCGCTTATAACAGCGCCCATATTTACTTCAATTTGACAATAGGCCCTAGGCCCTACCAATTTTGCAGGACAATAACATTAACAACTCTGGTTTTATACTGCTGAATATTAACCGTCACTTATATAATATCAGCGCAATACATTAATAAATACGGTGGTCCACTGCTTAGCATGTTCATCTTTCACTCCGCAGGCTGAGTTCCCTTAAAATCACACATTAAGTTCAACCAGGGCAGTGAATTTTGTAAAAACCTGGCTCTTGAAATTGGGTACTGTGAATTCCTTGTTCAATTGAATTGTTGCTTGGATGACCGTATAAAGTTCTGGGCGCGGCCAAGCTCTAGTACTATAGCCCGCGTTCGATTAACTGCCGCAGGGCTATAGTACATTGTCGGCTGGAAATACCAACTGCAACCTGTTACCACCTGTCCCCATGAAAAACGGATCGTAAAACGCAAAGTTATCGGGACATCTCACCTATCTTTTTGAACCATTTCAACAACTTTACATGATGTATTTGTCCTTTTATTCCACAAAGTAAGCACTTCTGTCATTTCATTTTGAAACGAAGTGACGTTACCGGATATGTACGCAAAACACATGGCAGCTATGGTGCATGTATTATTCACGGGGGTGATGGGGTGAACTCGCGCTGATGGGTTGGCTTGGCAATGTGAGTGAAGCTGCCACATCAGGCGCGAGTTCACCGCGAGTCAGCCCCCGTATAATACATGCACCATAGCTGCCATGTGTTTTGCGTACAATCCGGCTAACGTCATGCGTGGCGCACGGCCACTTCGTTTCCAAAATGAGATGAAGGTAAGTGCTGTACTTTGTGTGAATAAAAGAACAAATTACAGTGGTGTAGAAGTTGGTTGAAAGTGTGTTCAAAAAGATAGTGAGATGTCCATGTAGATATAATAAGTGTTAAAAAGCCGGCGATACCTTTTGCGTTTTACGATCATTTTTCATGGCGGATCAGGTGGTAACAGGTTGCAGTTGGGTATTTCCAGCCGACATGTACTATAGCCGCTGTGGCATTAATGACGCGGGCTATAGACTGACGAGCTAGGGGCGGCGGCCACTACAGATTCACTGCAGCTGCCAGTAATTACATGAACTGGCATTGACACACCACCGTCAGTCTATATTTGGCTCGCATAAATTCCAATATCCGTATTAGTCATTAAAAAACTTTTAAAGGTGTCTTCCCTTGAAGTTTCGGCCAAGGATAGAGAACGATTGGTCCATAAACAATGTGCCTAGACCCTAACCCTATCCCTAATTCTAACCCTAACCCTTAGCGCTCTCGAGATCCATAGACCTAACCAGTGCTGAGAAATAAGAAAAAAAAAGTGGTTGTCGCTTGAGGACAACCCAGGCATTAAATCCGGGTTGCGTCCAACAATTTCTGTTGTCCCAAAAGAAATATCCGCCCGTCTCCTATTTTCAATCTACACTAATAATACTTGTCAGAAAACACCATAAAAACATGGTGTACCAGGATTTTATTAACAAGGGGGCAAAAACAGGGCGAACTTGCGCAAAATAGTGGATGTACTTATATTTTACTTAATGGCTCCTCCGCCTCCTCTCCACACCCGTATCGCTCCTCTACCGTTCTCTGCAATTTTTGTTTGTGGGTGCCAGTGGCGAAAAGGCGACATTTTTGTTCATTTGTTCTCTGTCCCAAGATCATGTAATTGTTCAGTGGCGGTTAGTGATTCCAGTCCTGAGGTGGGGGTGAAAAACAAGGCGGGGGTATGGGGGTCCTCGCCCAGAAAATTTTGAAAATGTAGATTCGCAGGAGATGGTATTTGCGGCACTTTTGGAGTACATTGTACAGCCTTCATTCTGATGACGACAAGTCTCTTTTTTTAAATTTCGGATGCAACATGAAAATCCCCACTGTTGTTTGTTTTTGCATGGGTAAAAGGCCATCGGAGAAATTCGAAATAATAATGGAATAAAAATACCAAAATGTAGGGGTGAACTTGTTGGTTTTGTGGTTCCAAGATCAAAGTTCACTCTCTCATAAATTCAGAAAACCTGACATATATCAGGTGGGTTTGGAAATAGCAGCTGGTATGCGTCGCTTAGCCCACAGCCATAGATTAATGGGCGGCCGCCAGGCTATAACTAGTGGGCTCTTGGAGAACCACTGAGAAAAACATAAATAAAGTGCGTTTTTCGTCCAATTTTCTTGGTTTGTGCCACCGGACAGATGTCTCAGACTCGGTTAGGTTGTCCGGCGCAAGTTCTGGTTGTCTCGGACCACGGACAACGCTTATTTCGAGCGCACTGCTAACCATAACCCTGAACTATTATGATTGATATAATATTACTATTTTATTGATGGTAAATGACATTGCTGTTTTGGGGACGGCAGCTGTTCTCTATCCTTACCGAAGGTTTCAAGGCAAGCAAACATAAAATTAGGGCAAAATGACAAAAAATGAATATTTTAACATTGCACGTTTGTACTTGTCTATATATGTGTGATAGGGTAATAAAAACATTGCTCGGAATACGTTCATTCAAAGCTTTTTAGACTAACAAAGTGAAAGTGTTGGGTGATGCTTGGTCGTAAGTGTTCAAACAGGGCGTTTACTTTTGCTGGCTTTTGTGTCAATGTTGTACGAGTCTTGTTGTTGCCATGCAGTGTTGGCAAGCGCTGAAGGTCATGAAGGCTGCAATGTATGCTCATAGATGATCAGTATACCATGTGTGTATATATTGAATATCTATAGCTTGTGCTGGGTTGCATGACCTGCGTTCGAGCTCTTGCGCCATGATTACAGAACGTGGCGAAACGCGTTTTTTCGAGTCTGTTTTTTCGTTGAGGGAAATATAGGTCTTGCATACATGTTTTTACAGTTTTATTTCAAAGCTAAAACGTTCAGTTAAAGTGTAGTGAGTTATTTTTACGTTTTTACGGGTGGTTTGTTCAGCAAAAATGTGCGTGGGAAGGTATCTTTAACTAAGTAAGGATGAAGTAGGCAGAAGTGTTGTCCCGCTGCTCAGCTGTGTACGCTATGACAGAATCTTCAGTATAAACTCTAATTGAAGGCAGTTAGGATTTGATTTGTAGAATTTGCGAATTGCGGTTAGCTATTTGCCCATAAATTCAAAGGTACTTTTACTCTTTGAAAGTTCAACATTTCAAGTTTAAACAATAACAATCTTGAAATTTTACCCATTTGCCCAACGCAATCTATTGTTTTACTGCTTTGAATGGCAGGTTGGTTGCAAAGTTGACAATATGGAGAATATTAGATGTTATTGTCAAGCTTCTCTATGTGTGGGAGAGAGCTGAATAAGAGAATTCCCAGAATCATCAAAGAAAGCTTTGCATGCATACTTGAATGTAGTTCAAAGTGAGACAAAATGCATGAAGGCCAGTGCAGGCACTCCACTTGGCAATGAGGAACAACAGTATGCCTTGACCTTGAGAGAAATTCTTGACCACAAAATCGCAACTGGGAACGAAGATGGCGAATGCACGGAAGTTAAAATGTAAAGTGAAGACTAGAAGAGGCAGTTCACGCCAGGCCAGCTCCAAGGCGAAAGAACTGGCAACCTCTGAGCATGAACAAATCTATCGACTCAGCTGAGATTGTCTCGTTGCAATGAGTCTCTGAGGCTGAGCAGAGGGAGTTGTCAGAGCAGGCTGGAGAGAAAGAACCGCGAGATCGACAGACTAGAATGAAGAATGGAATGCAGATGTCCAACAAGTTGACGACTGCTAACCAGCGGAGGTGCGAAGCCTCGAGGCTATAAGCTCGATGAGATATACAGCCAAGCGATCAGTAACAAAGTTCAGGCGAGGAGGCGTGGCGCGAGGAGACAGAAGTGCTGGAGGCAGGCAGGTATCGTGGCTTTCAATGCAGACGGGTAAAACGCAAGGAGAAAGGAGCTTGTATTCCGCTGAGGCAGGAGACTCCGGCAAGGTGGCTGCAGCTGCAGATGGCAGCTGGACGGAAAGTCGGAGGAAGCCGTGCCTGCAGGAAGAACGTCGAGCCCTTTTGCTCGAAACACCACCGGAGCAGGAGCAGAAGCTCGAACAGCCTGCGATCGACAAGCTGAAGGAGAGCCACACGACGCACATAAAGCAGCGAGGAGCAGTTCCGGCGGAGGCTTGCACGCCTCAGAGCAAGCTCGCGCGGCGCTTTTACCACAACTCGTGCCGAGAAGGCGTAGGGGCAAGGTGCTCGAGTGAATGACGGCCGTTGCACGAGCTGGAGAAGCTGCTGCAAAAAGCCAAGGCGCCGTCGAACGACACGCAGCTCGAGCAGAAGTAGCGCGGCGAAGACACGCGCGCCTGCAGGCGAGCGTACGACGACTGCAACGGCAAGCTGGACGCGCTCCGGCCAAGCGAGCTGAGAACGCCAACGTGACCTGCTGTCGGCGGCCAGGCGCAGCGGCCACGCCTCGATGACGTCGCGAGCACTCGAGGAACTGTTGCGACGGCGGCCAGCGACCAGCAAGGCTGGCTCACGTCGGGCATTGAAGCTGACGCAGATCTACGAACGAGTACCGTGCAGACGAGGCAGCGGCGCGTCGAGCTCCGAGCGGCTCGAGAATCAAAGCGACTGAACAGTACTTCGAGCAGCTTCTGCAGGAGATCGAGGAGTTAAAGGCGCCGATCGTTGAAGCGCTGGCGCGAGGGCTACGAGAACTGTCGCTGGGCACGATCGCACATGGACGCGGCAGCAGCGAGTGCGGCGCTGCAAGAGATTCGACGCGCTGCGCTGCAGGCGATTCGACTGCCGCGAGCACGTCGCGGCCAGCCTGGAGCGGACAGCGCGCGCGATGCGCCAGCTAAGGTGCGCCGACCTTGGCCAGCAGGTGCAGCTGCTGCTGAGGAGGTCGAGGAAGTCGCGGCGGCGCGTGTCAGTCGCGCAACGAGTCGGAATCTGCGACG